GGAAGGGGCTGTGCTGCCGCCCACGCTGGGAAAGCAGCCCCCGAGAGCAGGAGGAACAGGGGCTGTCCCTCTCCCTGCACCCCACAGATCCCACTGTCCCCACACCACCCAGATCCTGCTCCCTGCCTGAGCTTCTCAGTGGTGCAGGCAGAGTCTCACATGCCCCTGCATCTTGTGGGGTTGTGGACCAGAATGGGCAGGGTGGGGATGCTGCTCTCTAGGAGTATGGCAAGCAGGCAGTGGTGCTGGGATGCTTGGCACTGTGGTGGGCAGGCAGCAGTGCTGGGACATTTTGCATCATGATGGGCAGTGGTGCCAGGATGCTCAGCACCACGGTGGGCAGCTGTGCTGGGATACTGGGCACCATGGTGGGTGGGCAGTGGTGCTGGGATGCTCGGCATGGGAGCAGGGCTGACAGTGGGCCAGGACACTGGGCTCTGCACTTGTTTGGCATGACGAAATCTCACTGGCAGCAGCAGTGTTCCCTCCTCCCCAGCACCAGGCAGTGGTGAAACCATGGCCCCACCATGAGCACCCATGGGGGCAGGAGGGTCCCAGGGTTGGGTATCTCAGCTGGCCTTGCTTGCACCCGCTTCCCTCGGGATTTTCCCTCTCAGGAACATGCTCTCAGAGAGGAAATGGGGAAAGGTCGGAGAGCCGTGTCTGGAAAACATTTCCCTGAGCTGAGGGATTGCTGGAGAGTTTCCCTTTAACCACGTCGTTAATCTTGTTGCTTCACAGGGCTTGGGGAGGCCTTTTCTCCCTCTCAATCTTGCTTTTTGCTTTTTTTTTAAAAAATAAACATATCTGTGAGCTGAGGGCAGAACATACCCGTGGAAAAGGTCAGGCTGGCATGGGGAGGGCTGAGAGCCCTGGAGATGAAGCCCTGGATCCTGGCCCCAGCAGCTCCCTGGGAGCTGGAGAGGGGCACAGTGTCCCCAGCCACGGGTGGCACAGGGGACACAAGTGGAAGAGGTTCTGTGCCAAGGACAGGGAATCTGGGATTGTCCTCCTTCACCTCGCAGGTGCTGAGGTGAGCTGGGCTCCCCTGGGCTCAGAGGATCCCACCAGCCTCATTCCTCCACGGAAAGGGTAGGGCAGGGGAACTGTGGTGCTGTGGGTCACCCCAAAACGTTGCCCTGGAGCAGGAGGGACTCCAGCCACCCGCTGTGCCCATGCCAGCATCGCATTGCCCATGGCTAGATGATTCTGTGCTGCCTTCTTGCAGCCACACCCCTCCCCTTTCCTGTCCCTATCCTGCCCTGGCATTTCTAAGTACCCCACAAGCACCGGCTGGGGGTCCCTGATCCAGAAGTGCGGGAAAAGCCCCTCACCTGCTGCCTGCACCCCTGCACCCATCCCAGGGTAAGCAGCACTGGCCCCTCTGCCATAGGTGCCCCAGATCTGCCAACCTGCCACTGCCCCACTGGGGACCTCATGCCACCCCGAGCCCCCCAGACCCAGCGGCACCATCGAATGTTTGTGTTTGAACTAAAATTAATTCCTCCCAAGACAGGAGTAGCCGACGTGTCCTTGTGTGCTGGGTCCCCTACAGCCATGGGGAGCTGCACAGGGACAGGGTGGACCAGCCCCCCAGTGCCACAAATGGGGTTCCTGGGGGATGCTGGTGATGGGGGTTCCCAAGAGAGCCTGGGGAGCTGTGTTAGGTACCAGGGGACCTCCCAATTCCTTGGCATCCTGCAGGGCTCCCCCTGCCAGGGCAGAGCAGACAGGGATGCAATATTGTTTACAATCTGTCCCCGAACCCGATGCCTCCTTTGAGCCCTGGTTTGTTTGTTCAGGGCTGGAGTTCGACCAAAACAAGCCTCCTTGGTCAGTTCCACTGAAATTTGGGAAGCTGAGGAACAACAGAAAAAAAAATAGCTACAAGCTGACTCTAAAAGGAGAGAGCCATGCTGCAGGATGGGGTGGGATGGGATGGTTGTGATGGGATGGGATGGTTGTGAAGGGAATGGATGGATGGATGGATGGATGGATGGATGGATGGATGGATGGAACAGGATGGGGTTGGGGATGGAATGGGGTACCAGCTGCCCAGTGCTCCACTGCCTTGTGCTCCTTTGGTGCAGTGCTGAGAGGCATTGCTGCCCACAGCTGCCCAGATGTTCAGTCCCACTTTGCCTGTGGTTGCCTGTTCTGGACAGGGCCATGTGCACCTGTGGTGGGACCACTGTCCCCCTGCCTTGCTCAGCTGTGCCCAGAGGCTGCTCTCACCCCAAGAGAAGCTCAGAGCTGGCCTGAGCACACAAAGCACAAAGACACCAGGGCATGGGGAGCCAAGGCAGAGACCCCAGGGTGCAGGGACCCCAGGACTGTGCACCCAGTAAACCCAACAGTGATGGAGATTCAGTGCCACCAGCAGGGTTGTCACTGGCCCTGCTGATCCTTCTGCAGCCTCCTGGGCTGGTTTCCAGCAGAGCCATGGTTCAGTGTTTTCCCAGCTTTTGAGGAATTTGTCCTCTAAGATGGCTGAGGGAACAAGGAACAACCCTGCACGTCTCTGCTGCCCGCCCTG